TTTTTTTGCAAATACAATTCTCCATATGTGCGGCTGTAAAGTATTATTATAAAAAAAGCTGTGACTCGTACAGACACAAGAAAAATTATGTAATTACAGATAATTATAATTCCCATAGAAACTGTAGAACAAGTAAATTCAGTTACATGCTATGTAGATGAATTTGTAAATTATATAAGGTAACACCACTGTTCTGTGCAACGTTAAATGATATCTCCAGAAGTTTTTACGAAATAAACCTATTATTATTATAGGATTATTTATTCTGAAATATTAGAAATTAGGATTTCCAATGATTTCTATTCTATATGATAAATTTATCGATAGATGGATCTATTCATAAATAACAGTTTATGACTCGTAACAACTCGACAACTTTCACTGCACTCAACTCTCGACTCACAATTTACCAACTCCTGACAACTCGACTCTCAGTTGACGACTGCCACGCAATTCGTCTTCCCTTAAGCATCCCTTTGTTTTTTTTTTCATATCCCCGCCACGTACATGTTCCGTAACTGTCCACGATCATGGTCGCATACTTCTTCTTTCGCGTCACTATTCGACTGAAGGACCGACGATACATTGATGGGCCGCTTGGGCCATTGAAATCTCTCGACCCCATCTGGCTGTTGGCACTTAGGCCTTCTCGCAACATTGTTTATAGTTCACTCGATATTTCTTAGGTAATCCACGATACTACAATATTTCACTCTATCTTGTATTATAATTCGTTCATTCTCTTGTTTAAATTAGATTTTACGAAGGGTGGTTTGTATCAACTCCTAAAATAAAGTTTTGGGTATCGTGCTATTGTATCTGAAATATTATTGTACAAATCCAAGGAAAAATTCATCGTAATGGATATAACATACATTTTTGTAGTTGTTGTATGTGCACTGTGCGTGTGCAACGTGACATACATGTTATTTATATGCAACGCATGTATACATACGCATAAAATGTAGAAATAGGAAATATAAAGTGGTAAAATATCCACGTAAAATTCTTTCTTTAATTTCAATGTTAAGTTAGAGTATAACAATGTTAATGTTTTAAGTTAGAGCATAACAATTTTTTATGGGATTATAATACTACGAGAAGTGCTAAATTGCAGTTTTACTTAAATTGTAATACATATACACATTCAGAATGTTTCTTTTATTTGAAAGGAACGTAATCACGTTACACTCAAACAATTTGCTCAGTACGTTTTGCACTATTTTTTCTGTCTTTCTTGCTTCTTAGTAATATACGTTTTATTATTTTAATGAATTATATATGGTCCATTTTTATTGTTCCGAAAGAACAAACTATAAAACAAAATGGATCATACGTAATCCAATTCGAACAATCTAATATTTATCGACTTGATGTAAAAAAGCTCAAATTAAACGAAAAGTAAGATTTGTAAACTCCAAGGATGAAAGAGTTATTAAACTGTTCGAATATTTATTATGCATATATTTT